AACGTAGTTATTTTAACTAGATTTACTTTGTCTCACTTGTCCACAAATTCCTGGGAAGGGGCCTTAGCAAGTATGTTTAGTTCAAATCTACTCATTAGCTACAGATGATGTAGCTAGCAGTGACCTCTGTATAGGAGGAAAGTCAACACATTTCTGAGATCTGCTAATTCTTGATTATACATAATTTCACAAAGGCTGCGTACTTTCAGAGAATATTTAATGACTGCAGGAGTTTTTGTACTTGTTCCCTTTACATCCCAGGACTTGAACAGTTAACCACATCACGAGTGCCTGTGGCTGGACATCTAGTTGTTAGGGCAGACCTTTTGTACTGAGGTCTTGCCACAGGAGTGGGTCCCATCCTCTAGAATTGCGTTTATTTGCTGGAGATTGCTCAAAAGCGCCACTGTCCTTTCTTTCTTGAGGTCACTCAGTGTGGTATCATCAATGGGTTTTACTAAAATGGGGCTCGTTCACATTCCATGCCACTTGAATCCCTGAACCAAAGATTTTGAAAGCTTAGCTACCTAACTGAAAACTGAGGGGAGAGAATGATAGAGGGAAAACACACAAATCAATGCTCTAGAACCTAGCTAGCCCGAAGAGGAAATACAGGAAGTGCCAGATGGCAGTAGAAATGTGGTTGCTTGGAGTGTACTTGAAGTGATTTGAGAAAAACTTCATGAGATTTGAACTGAGCCCTTAAGGATGGGTAGGATTCAGCAGTGTGTCTGTTGTGCTGTGTTTCTCAGGTCGAGCCTTCACGGGTGTATGTTGACAGGTGGTGGTATCGCATGCGTCTGGGGTATGTGTGTTGTGTTTGGGAGTGAGTTTGTGACAGAAAGGAGCTGAGAGTTCACGCTGCTGGCAAAGGGCTTCAGAAAGAGCACTGTTACTCGGAGAAGTTTTCTGAGAACTACGAGCTGGATGGGTTTAGAAAGGGAAGGTGCTTCGGAGCCTGTTAGAGGAGCTCTGACCTGAGACGGGCTGATGGCAGTTGGAATGGGAAGAAAGGAAGTGATCAGTGGATACCACTGGAGAGAATTATGGTGAGAAGGCAGAATTCAAGATGATGTTGAGTGTATGCCGGGTGCAGGGGTGTCCTTAATGGGAACTGCAGAAGTCAGGATAGGAGCTGAGGAAGTGAGAGGAAGGGAAGAGGTTTAGTGCAGGGTGTGCTCATCAGTGGGAGCCCTGAAATGAGGTCAGATTTGTAGATAGAGGTTCACCTATCGTCAAGCTTCAGGACCTTGCTCAAGACCAGTTCTTTTTTTCTGCGGACTGTTGTGAGGAACACAGTGATGTAGAAAGGTGCTAAGGAGAAAAGAGGAAATGACTGTAGGCTTTTTGGCTTAAGAGTTAAGTGGTACTTTTTAGTTATATAAATATTACAGTTCAGAATTAATTACCTTGTAATATTTTAACAGAACCTGCAAATTCAATACGCTTGGAATATCTTTGTTTTAGCCTCATCTGTATTCCCTGAAGATACTTTTTGAGTATTTTTAAGTCACAGAGTTATAGTAATTAATACTTACATCAATAATTATATTTCTATTAAAAATAAATATTGCATTACTACAGACTTATTAATAAAGCTAATACAAAACCTTAAAGACTGCTATTAATCCTTTCTTTGGATAACTTCTCTCCTCTGTTTCTTAAGGAGTTTGTACTTAAGGATTATTTTACTTCTCCAGTTCTCTTTCATAGGGTTTTAGTAGGTGGTTGGGGAAATTCATAGTGTATCTACATTTTTGAGGAATTGACTTGAATATAGATGTAGTTCTTCTACAGTGTTTAGTAATGCTTTCCAAATACGGTCTAATTAATTCATTAGTAAGCATGACAATATAAAAAATGTTTAATTACTAGCCTGTCTGTTAACCCCAGCCATTAATCCATATACCTATAATACTTTGCTTTTATTATTGCTTGAACTGGAAAGTATATAATCACAGGCTGTTACGAATTTAGTACTGGAAGATGGTTGATATACTTGGAGACATTATTCGGTCTGTCTGTAGGTAGAACTTGATGTACAGATGGATTCCTGGACGGGTCCACAGCATGGGAACGGCTGGTATTGCATTTGAACCAAGAAATAATTGGTTTAAGAGTAACAGTTCCATATTATGCATAATTTATTATTATTGTACTAATTAATTTTAGTATGATTCATTGGATAGAATTGGAAATCTGTGTTACATGAAAAATTAGACTTCTAATTAAATTTGCTTAGGCATATGAATATATGTTAAAAGATATTTAGTAATTTTTTTTCAGTGTGCAATACTAACAGAGCTGGTTACTATTAAAAATAATTTTATGTCCTTTTATGACATTTGGAAGAAAAAGTATGGAGTTAATTTCATCTCAATAATGCAAAACCACTTAGTTGAGCTGTCATCTTTACTCTTACTTTCCATTTGCTGATTATGACAGGTATAAAAAGCTCTCTCAGATAATCTTCTTCAATGAATTTTAGCTTTCAGTTACCAGAAAACAATATTTCTACAAAGTCTCAATTCCCCAGAGTGGATACTGTATACATCGTTATCTAACGTAATGCATTTACCTTAAAACTCTTTTGTGCTTGGCTTTGGTATTGTTTGCTACCTGGATTTTTGGAAGAGGTAGGCTATTCAGCAGGCATATATGACAATGATTATTTTCTGTGGCAAACTTTTTTGCTGTTTTTTGCCAGACATAGACATTTAAATATGTTACGCTGGCACATTAGTTCCATGAAGATTAGCTAAGATAATGTGAAATCACAAGCTATTTAGTTAGGCTACAGACAGATTAAAGTAAGACTTCTCAAAGCAAGCACACATTTTTGAATGTGAATATTTTAAATGAAATATTGAAATTACTTATAGTAGCCCTGGATATGTTTATTATGTCACTTGTTCGTGTCGTAAGTTTTTACTTGATCATTTTAATTGCCAATAGAAGGAGCAAGTAACTTATTTATATTTTATCCCTGAGAAACCAAAGGAAGAAACTGCCTAATGAACATGAAAACTGCCATTAAATCTTGATTGTTCATTTTAGGGAAGCTTATATCATTATAGTTCCCTGATCTTGTCACATTGTGAGTAAGTGCACAAACTAAATGAAAAAATCTAAGCAAGATAAATAACAAATTAGGTTAGGAAAAAATACAGTTGCTGAAAGAGAAAATGACTTTAAAGCTAAATATAAACTGTGTGTGTGTGTGTGTGTGTGTGTGTGTGTGTGTATAAAATTTTTTTTTTACTTGGTTTATACCATCTTTTTTTCTTCAGTAATAACAAGCAATACAGGTAGGAATTGAGTTAGCACTTCCAAGTTAATATTAATGTGCTTATTAGCGCACATACACACGTTTAAGGTTTTATAGAAAAATGTCTTTCCCATGTCTAATTTTACTGACCAGTCCAATCAGCTAATTTTATTGCCTTGTTCAATTAAAATTCTAAATGTAGTTCATTATTGAAAGAAATGAGTAGCATTAAAATAGAGAATTGATTAAAATAAAGTCTTATAAAAATACTTTAGGTAAAGTAGCAGACTTCAAGTGAAACACCATATTGGTCTCCTTTATAGGACTAGCTATTCGCAGTCAGACAGAACCACTTAGCACGTTTTGTAGCATCTCCTGAGGAAGTCAGAATCTGAGCCAGTGTGAAGACTGAATCTTGTCTTTAGTCTGATTTATAAACCCTACGTTTAACCATGTACAAGGTCAAGGTTATAGCATGGGGACAAAACTTAGTAAGTGTGATTTTTATTTTAGCTATTAAATAGTAGCCTTTCTTACAGAGAATTTGTCCTCTTAACAGAGTTCACACTATAAATGAGGTGAGGACTTGGCAAACCAGGGAGGACATCGTAATACAGTCATAAAGTGAAATATTGAGCTTTCAGGTACAGGAAAAATAATCCCTGAGAAAGAGGGAAGAGCCTCAGTTACTCTCCTAGGATTTGTTTCCTTTTTCTGCTTAAAAATAAGTGGCAGGATAATATTAATTTAGTTGTCTCAATTCAAGCCATTAAAAAAAGTATTAAATTTGCCATGTAAGTTGCTTCATTTATAAGTTGTCATTAAATAATAAAGTCTTCATTATAGTGTAGTGTTCGTAAGCCCAATGTAGAATCCTAGGGAACTTTTAAATACATTTTTAATATTAATTGGATTTTGAGTATTTTAAATATTGAGTATTTCGAGTATGAATATTGAAATATATTGGAGGGATATGCTAGTAGTTATCTCAGTGACGATTTCATTGTACCAAGTATAGGTGAGTTGTAATTTTTATTTTATGTGTTTCAGAAAGAACTAGATTTTGAGGATATAGGCTATCAAGGAGTTTTGTCTCTATTTCAGTGTTACTTTGTTAATTGTAAGAATCACTCGCAACATCTTTCTTTTCTACCTGTGGTTGTTAAGAGCAGTGGGCAATTAGCATGTTTAAGTTGCCTTTCTCCCTTAGCCAGAATGGTAGAATTGAGTTTGATCTTCTGAGTTCTTTAGTAAATGAAGCATGATGCTATACCTGGATAGCATGCTGATCTATGTTCATAATTTGAGAACGGTTATGGCTTAAGATACTTGGTTTGTGTTCTTTTCCTTCCCTTTGAGCTTTTAACTGTTGATTCCTTTTCTAAATTGATGGTAATGACCTTGCTGAAATGAAACATTTCTGTTAGTGGCTTCCCTATTTCAACCTCCTTCCCTCTTACAGCGAACCTCCCTCTGTCTTCTGCCAATCTCTTGCATTCAGAAAACAGAATTCCATTAAATCCCTAGGTCTAAGGTTTTTCTTTGGGTATTTATCTCTCATGTCTATGGAAATCAAAAAAGAAAATAAAGATGGTTCAATATGAAATCTGACATGCATCTTTTGAAAAATTTATATTTAATAAGTTGAAGTGTACTTTTATTTGGGGGGCATATTTTCAGAGGTAGAATTATGTAGTTATTGTTTTAATAACCATGTCCTAATTATTTATAGCCTCCTGCCTGACATAACTCACTTCAAGAAGTGCACAATGTCAGAACGTGGAATTAAGTGGGCATGTGAATACTGTACGTATGAAAACTGGCCGTCTGCAATCAAGTGTACCATGTGTCGTGCCCAAAGGCCGAGTGGAACGATTATTACAGAAGATCCATTTAAAAGCGGGTCTAGTGATGTCGGTAGAGATTGGGACCCTTCCAGCACCGAAGGAGGAAGTAGTCCTTTGATATGTCCAGACTCTAGTGCAAGACCCCGGGTTAAGTCTTCGTACAGCATGGAAAATGCAAATAAATGGTCGTGCCACATGTGCACATACTTGAACTGGCCAAGAGCAATCAGATGTACCCAGTGCTTATCCCAGCGTAGGACCAGGAGTCCCACTGAATCTCCCCAGTCCTCCGGGTCTGGCTCAAGACCAGTTGCTTTTTCTGTTGATCCTTGCGAGGAATACAATGATAGAAATAAACTGAACACGAGGACCCAGCATTGGACTTGTTCTGTTTGCACGTATGAAAACTGGGCCAAGGCTAAAAAATGTGTTGTTTGCGATCATCCCAGACCTAATAATATTGAAGCAATAGAGTTGGCAGAAACTGAAGAGGCTTCTTCAATAATAAATGAGCAAGACAGAGCTCGATGGAGGGGAGGCTGCAGCAGTGGTAACAGCCAAAGAAGATCGCCTCCTGCTACGAAACGAGACTCGGAAATGAAAATGGATTTTCAGAGGATTGAATTGGCTGGGGCCGTTGGCAGCAAGGAGGAACTTGAAGTGGACTTTAAAAAAGTAAAGCAGATTAAAAATAGGATGAAAAAGACCGATTGGCTCTTCCTCAATGCTTGTGTGGGTAAGTGTCTGCACTTTTTGAATGGGACGGGGAAAGATATTAAAAATGACATGAAAGGCACAAGTAGGGTCAATATTACTTAGCATTTAGTTCATTCAGCGTGCTAGCTTATACTCTCAGTATGCGTGCATCAAATCTGTGTGTTTGTCAACTTTGTCCATTTCATTGTGTATGTGTCACTTCATCATTAGAGAGCAAAAGTTTCAGTTAAAGCATAGTTTTTCAGTCGTAAAATATATACCTGGAGTTGAAAACTGCCTTCTATTTACTGTAACAAGATGTGACTGAGGAACACCAGCTGCTGCTCCAGGGTGTTTGTAAACAGTATAAGCATCTTGTGATGAGAGAAGCTTTAGTCAGATGTTAAAAATATCACAAAAATGTGTGACTCCAAGAAGTTGGACAAGCGTAGTATTGACCTTGAAAATACTGATGTTAATCTAACATGGACGTCATGTAGTAAATACTTGAAAACTTTATGAAACTGATTTCATGAGGCCAACTGATTTCTTAGGTCCAATTACGATTTGTGTGTTTTGCAATTTTAGTAGTGCTTTCTTAAGGAAGCTCTGGATATTGGTCCCAGTTACTGGCTCTGCGCTGTGAAAGGACAGAGACAGGTTGTGAGAGCAGGGCTGTCTCCAGTTATTGACCTTGTGAGTTAATTATTTGTGATGTAATTCGCAAAAACAGTTATCTAACTCTCCTGTATTTCTCTTTCTTTGTTTTTTGAGTAGGTTAGCTATTTGAATTTGATGATTTATATTATTTGGATGGGGTGCTTACTTTGACATTTAGTTTTGTAAAGGGAATTTTGAGGGATTACTAAAGTTAATAGCTATGTCTTAAACATGGCTTAGCTGTGTGTGTGTGTATATATATATATATATATATATATATATTCCCATTTCTATTGTTTATCCCTCTGAATACAGCCCCAAGAATATGGAAGACATAACTATATGAACATCTAGTCTTAAGAGGAGATTTCAGGAAATCTAAGTTTTTTTATTGGGTTGTCGGAAAAGTCATGACATTTCTTCTATGTTTTTCGTGGCAAAAATGCATCATGACTTTTCCTACAACCCAATATTTTAGTTTCTTCCTGGCAAAAAGAATGTCTCAGCACGTGAGCCCTCTGAGCACCAGACTTGGTTGGCACTTTGTGATTGTCCTGAGGCCGAGGGGTGAAAACACGCGGAGCCATCTTCTGCTATCTGGGTCCCATTTCATCCCATTTTTTTCCCTCCCCAAATTGGGTTAACACTTATGGCATTGTCTTTTTTTCTTTTTATAAGGAGATAGAAGAGTTTTATTATTATTTTTTAATTGAGGTCACATTCACGTAACAGAATTCACGATTTTGAAAGTGAACGATTCAGTGGCCCTTAGTGCATTCACAGTGTTGTTGCGACCACCTGTATCTAGTTCTGAAATATTTTTATCACCCCAAAGGAAACCCTGTACCCATAAATCAGCTACTCCACATCCCCTCCTCCTCCTTCCTGGTAACCTACAGTCTGCTTTTTGCCTCTGGATTTACCGATTCTGGATATTTCGTATGTAAATGGAATCTTACATTGTGTGACCTTTTGTATTTACGTGTGATTGTCTTTCAGCTAGCTGTATGCCTTTTGGAACACTCTTAAAATCATTTTTGCAGGAAGCAGAGTACTATGCATACGTTTACTTCAGGATGGTGTTATAGCGCACATATGTTTCTCAATGGAAATGAGCTACA